ACTGCAGCAGGCCAGACCAGGCCAGGACCTGACACAGGACCATCATGCTTCCTTCTCCTGCATTGCCTTCTTGGACCTTCAGGAAGTGGGTACATTTCTACCTGCCCCTTCATCAGGGAAAAGGACAGTTGCTAGAGGGATAATTCAAGGTTCATGGGCTTGCTAACTCTTTCCTATAATCTCTTCTGCTCTCTGTCAGCAATAGGGAAGGTCATTCTAGCAAGTGATATCCAGTAATGCCTTAATTAACTGCAGCATTTTCATGCTCCAAGAAATCAATTCCAGATGGGCAAAATGAGAGATATTTATATGAAAAAATTAGTAATAATAGTAATTCTGCTGGGTGCTGGTGGCTCACACCTGTAATCCTAGCCACTCAGGAGGCTGAGATCTGAGGATTGTGGTTCAAAGCCAGCCTGGGCAGGAAAGTCTGAGAGACTCTAATCTCTAATTAACTACCAGAAAATGAGAAGTGGCGCTGTGGCTCAATTGGTAGAGCACTAGCCTTGAGCTGAAGAGCTCAGGGACAGCACCTAGGTCCAGAGTTCAAGCACCATGACTGAAAAAAAAAAAAAAAAGCAATTCTTATTTTAAAGAAATTTAGATCTCTCAAAGGTGTAAAACTCTGATGGTCCAAAAGGCTATTTGGATAGATCCAAGGATGGGCCTGGAAAATTTTATTTCACGTATAAAATGCAATGGTACTTTACATCTCCTGGCTTTTCCTGAGTCTGTTTTGGAGGCTACTGCTTCAATGGTCCAATACACAGTTCTAACGATTTTATTTTTAGGAATCTGACTTGGAGTAGATGAGGAGTGTGGAATACTTGCCTTCACCTTCAAGCAAGACAGTTATTTTGAGAGTTCTCTTCCTTTGGAGAGGGAATAACATTTCCAGCTGTGCACTTCTGGCACTTGCCTCCACATTCTGTACACAAGGAAGGCGGCTTGTGGGTCTAACAGTGTTCTGGATGGAACTGTATAACATCTCCTGCAGCAGGTGGCAGCCGGGCCTGCTCTCTCACCCTGCCTGCCCAGTACTGCTGTCTCCAATTCTTGTTCCTGTCTGATCTGCACTGACATCTTAGATGGGAGGAAAGCACCTCTTCAAGTGCCTTGGATGCTAGCCTATTGTTCGGCCGGAGATGTGGTTTTTTTCTGTTTGCTTGTTTGTGCCGGTACTGAAGCTAAATTAAACTCAGGGCCTCATGCTCTCACCTGGCTTTTTCATTCAAGGCTGGTACACTACTATTTGAGCCATATCTTTACTTCCAGCTTTTTGGAGACTATTTGGAGATAAGAATTTAATGGGCTTTCCTGCCCAGGCTGGCTTTGAATTATGATCCTCAGATTTCAGCTTCTTTAGTAACTAGGATTAGAATTGTGAGTCACCAATGCCCAGCCAAGATCTTAGACTTTGGCATGGTCCTAACTACCAACACAAAATTTAAATAAAAGCTCTATTTTTACAGAATAAGAAAAAAAAGTACATTTATCAAATGGGGTACAAGAATCCTTCCATAAAGCAAATTTCTGTCTATTAGAATGGTTCTTAGCAAGAAGAGAACATTATACAGTCAGTCCTTTGTAGGCAGGGCTCTGGATCTGTGGACTCAACCAAAGGTGATAAGGTGGAGGTGTGGCTGAGTGGAAAAAGCCAATTGAGAACAAGAGGCCCCAAGTTCAAGCTCCAATATCACACACACACACACACACACACACAGCAATAGGCAAGTCAAGTGTAGTGGTTTATACTATTCACACACACACACACATACACACAGCAATAGGCAAGTCAAGTGTAGTGGTTTATACTATACACACACACACACACACAGCAATAGGCAAGTCAAGTGTAGTGGTTTATACTATTAAGCCCAGATATGGAGATAGGGAGGATCAAGGTTAGGGGCCAGTTTGGGAAAAAAGTTTGCAAGACCTATGATTCTAGCTTAAGGTAAGTATACATAAGAGGATCAAAGTCCAGAGGCCAGCCTCAGGCAAAACTTTGAGATCTATTTAAAAAAAAAAACTAATGGAAGGACTAGAGGTGTGGCTTAAGTGATAGAATGCATGCCTAGCGAACACAAGGTTCTGAGTTCAGAACAGAGTACAGTTAAAAAAAAAGTATATGGGGGCAGGGAAGGTAGCTCAGTGGTAGAGCGCTTGCCTTGCATGCATGAGACCCTGGGTTTGAGTCCTCAGCACCACGTAAGCAGAAAAAGCCGGAAGTGGCGCTGTGGCTCAAGTGGTAGAGTGCTAGCCTTGAGCTGAAGAGTTGAGGGACAGCGTCCAGGCCCAGAGTTCAGGCCGCATGACCAGAAGAAAAAAAAAGTATATGGGAGAATGTGCTTAGATGACATGCAAATACAGTGCTATTTTATAAGGAATTTGAGTATCTACAAGTTTTAGTATCCAGAGGGTGGCCTGGGAGCCAGTCCTGTGTGGATACTAACAAACAACTATAATCACCTATCGAGCTTGTAAAAGTGCACATCAGGCCCCACTACAGCTAGACTGACTCAGTCTCTAGACATCTACATTTTTTTCAAAGGACCCCAGTGATTCTGTTTTATCCCTCAGGTGAGAAACAGGCTCTGGCTCCACAGGATGCACACTGTGTACAGTATGCATCAAGGAGACACTTAACATAACTCCTACTGACATCTGTTGGCTCCTTGGGGATTACTGACAATGTAATAAATCAAGAAAGCAACTTCCCTGCCTGTGACCACCAACTGGGAAAATCAGCAGCTTGACATCTCAATGCCATTATGGAGACATCCAGAAAATGGCTCTTTCATGACAAGAAGTGTGGATCTATAAACATTGAGTGACAAGAACCAGGTGTAGGAGTCTCCCTGGCTCTTCTAGTTCCCCTAGGTTGATGACAGGTGGCTGAATTGGCTTTGCTGCTGGGAGACAGGTCCACAGCCCCTTCTTGGCAATAGTGCCTGGACACATAACCTTTTCAGGAGAGACAGGAAGACAGGAGCCTTCTGCTGAGCCTCCAACCCCTTTCCCACCTATAAATTTGTCATAGGGTCTTTTCCTAATAGAGTTCAACTAAAGGCCATGCCTCTTTCACCATTGTTCTTCTCTGTGTACTTGAATTTAAAATGCTCAATACTTGAGTCCTACTAAAGCAAGGACAAAGACTGGTGGAAGCTAAAGAAACGAGGCTCTGGAGATGGGTATGTGGCTGAGCACCAAGCCCAGGGTCTGAGAGAAAAGTTGATGGAGGGGTCAGGGGACTGCAAAAACAAGACCAAAAAAAAAAAAATCTCTTTCTCTCTAGATAGATAGGTTTTGGAGACAGGGTTTTACTATATAGCCCAGGTTGGCCCAGACTTTTGTTGTTGTTTAGAGTTCAGTGTAGTTTAATTCTCCTTAACAGAATGTTCTATTAGACAATTTAAGAAATCTAGATAATGTATGCACATGCACAAAATATGGAAGGTACGAAGGGTATAGAGTTAGTAGGGAACAGTTCCTCCTCTCCCCCCAGCCAGAGATCCACAACTTATATTAGGTGCTCCTGTCTCCAGTGAAGCAAGCTCAGAGTTCAGATGAATGAACAATTCTAGGAGCTGGATGCTATGCCTGCCTGCAGCTTGCAAATGGGGAAACTGAGACACAGCATAATACAGTCACTTCAAGTCCACAACAGCATAGTCAGCATGCTTAAACACCCACCCCTCTGTCTCTTAGCACAGTGGAGGCTAGTGGTTGCAGTGCAGGCTTCCAAGCACCTAGGCCTTGTCCTTCAAAACAGGCTGTCATATAGAGCATGTCCTCAACAAGGGTTCACAAGGTATGTGTATTGATACAGATATGCATATATACATGCATATATGTATTCAGACACATGCATGGACATGCCTGAGTTTATTTCAGAGATCTATTATATTCAAGTGTGTGTGTGTATGTATGTGTGTGTGCGTGTGTATACATTGTTGTATGTATATAAATGCATGTGTATATTGCCATGGGAACAAATGGCTTTGGAACACAGCCAGGCAAGTCCTTAGTCTTCCCACAGTCCTTACCTCCCAATGGGCTTTGACAGTCATTTCCAGCTGCTCTAATCCAGAACCCCTGGATCCATAATGACCCACTTTGCTGCATGTCAAGATCACCCAAGCAGCTAGGGCAAGTCCACTGAGAACTGGGTCTGATTCCAGATTCAGGTTTTGATTCCAGACAATTAGCCTGCTTCTGGGCTTGTGGGTCTTGCAGTGTCTCCCCAGGAGAGGGTATTCCTTCCTTGGCTTGGAACTGTCAATCCTCATGACTCAGCCTTCCAAGTGCTGGGATTATAGGCATGTACAACACACCCAGCTCAGGCCTGTTGGGTGTATTCTCTGCAGAGAGCTGAACCCTTCTGCTAAGTGCTGTTCTGCCTGACTAACAATTATAATGCCTGGACAAAAGCTGGTACTAAAGTGGTTACTCTGAGATGGTAGTCAGATAACTGAGCCTGAGTTTCAAGGGACTCACCTGGTCTGGAGCCTATACCCAGGCTGCAGGGTAACAGACTGAAGCTGCCCTGTGGGGACATTCTCCTCTGAAGAATCTGAGGTGGGGGAGCCAGGGCAGGCCAGGTTCTAAGCCTGGTTGGTATAAAAGGTGAATATTGGGGCTGGGAAGGTGGCTCAGTGGTAGAGCGCTTGCTTTGCATGCCTGAGGCCCTGGGTTCGATTCCTCAGCACCACGTAAGCAAAATGAAAAAAAGCTGGAAGGCACTGTGGCTCAAGTGGTAGAGCGCTAGCCTTGAGCTGAAGAGCTGAGGGACAGCGCCCAGGCCCAGAGTTCAGGCCTCACGACCGGACCCCCTCCTCCCCAAAAAAGAAAGGTGAATATTGTAGCCCTAGGTACTCATGGATATGAGTCTTTCTTGTTAGTAGCACAGTGAAGTACTTTGTTCTAGAACTACCATGGTTGTTTCAAGTGACTCCAGAAAGTACTGTGGATTTGAAAATGAATGAGCAGGAAGCAGATCAAACAGCATAGGCCTATTTATTTGCTTCATCTTCAGCAAAAAGCTTTTCCGAGAAGTTTCTAGTCTCCCCATTTAGAAGGCAATCCCTTCCTTGGAAATCAGGAGCAGAGTGAAACAGGGCAAACAGACGGCTTGAGAACACAGTGATGTGTCAAGCAGAAGCCTCTAAGCCAGCTCTGGGTCTCCCTGCACACCAAGTCAGGAGCCCTATGGCTGACACGACATTGCTGCCAAGGCCTGGTGCACACATCTTGGGGAGACACAGGGGCAGCTCTCCCCTGGGGAGAACATGGGGGAGATATTTGGCCATGTCATGGAAGTTTTCAGAAGCGTGAACCAGGAAAGAGTGCCTTTCGTGGAAAGTGCACGTGCTTGCATTGCCTTCATGAAGAAAGGCTGATGTCCTATTCTGCAACCTGCCTTCTCACTCAGGCCATACAGCTGCACCCAGTGACGGGGGGGAAGGGTGGGAGCTAGGCTTCCTCAGTCAAGCTGCTGGCACAGGTATGCTGTAAGGAACAGAACCCACGTACTGAAGGGAGGATGTATCGTGGGGGTGAGGCAACTTGAGCCAATGACAACTCAGCTGTCAAGGGCAGCCTACAAACAGCAAGTAAACCACCTGGACCTTCTCCCACTGCTGCCTCCACTTTGGGAATATCATCTATAACCTTTTTCATAACCCTTGTAGCTTCTGCTACAAGGACAAAAAGAGAGGGTAGGGGGGAAAGGCATGAACAACCTCAGTGTCCCAGGAACTTGGAGAACTGGGCTCTGAGAGTCATGGGGGCTTCCAAGAACTGGGTACTGAAGGTTGCTGGTACCACCCTTCCCACCTCTTATAGTCTCTTTTTAATGAGTTTCTCGAGTTTGCGGATTCGAGAGGATTCCTGCTCAGGTGTGGGTGCCATGAGGGACAGTGAGCTGGAGCCCTCGGGGCCTGCCGGTGGGGTGGGGAGCCTCTGCCGCAGGAGTTCCAGCATGCTGCTCTGCTCACTCCTCTTCAGCCCCTGAGGGGGAAGCCAGGAGAGAGAGCGGTCAGAACAAAGTGCGCCTCTGGGCCTGTAGTTAGCCAGCTGTCAACCAGCACAATTCCTCCAGGCTGAGAGGACTACAGCTTCCCTCCAGGGAATTAGTGGCCCTTGGTTGTGGTCTGGAAAGAAACACCAGATGCAGCTGGAGGTAGGAAAGGACGGACAGGTATAGATAGAGGATAACTCTGCTGGTTTTTCTCCCCAACCCTGTCCAGAGCAGAGGCTTGCCACCGGGCAGGGAGGTGCTCAGGATCCTGTAGCTCACGTGGCCAGGATTCATCTTCTGGAAAGGCTTCTTGGAATCCTGTTGGGGGTGGGTGGCGACCTCTTATTTTGAGACAGTATTAGAAGGAAGAATGCAATCCAGAGCTCACCTTCATGTCCAGTATCTTCTGGAAGGTTTCTGTGTTGCAGTCTGTAAGGAGTTTGATGTAGTTGTCAACGAATACCACCAACGGTTCATGAGGGGCCATTACCACCTATCAAGAGAGGGGACATGAGAGGGACAAATTCTGAACAGAGGATCTGAACCAGCAGCAATCCCAAACCCAGAAATGTCTCCATGGGCTATTTCAGCTTCAGACTTGATTAGAGCAATTCTAATTGCTCTAATTTCTAAGGTCTGCTGAATCATAAACATCATCTGGATTGATGTTTATTTATTCACTTACTTAATTATGATAGGGTCTCACTGGATAGCTCAGGCTTGGCTTGGAATTTGAGATCCTTCTGCCTCCATACCCCAAAGGCTGGAATTATAGGCACAGAGTCCCAGCACAACTATCCTAGACTGTTTTTGGATGCATAGATTCCTGGGTCCCTCTGAGAATTCTAATTCATTCAGTGAGCCTGTACAGGACATTTGGGACACACAGTCTACTGCTAGGATCCTTTTAGGGGTGCATGCTCTTTTTGTTTACTCCTGAAAGATGGGAAGTAAAAGCAACTGATGTCAATGGCTAATTTTTTTTTGGTCGGTCGTGGGGCTTGAACTCTGGGCCTGGGCACTGTCCCTCAGCTCTTCAGCTCAAGGCGAGTGCTCTACCACTTGAGCTACAGCGCCACTTCCGGTTTTCTGGTGGTTTATTGGAGATAGGAGTCTCACGGTCTCTCCTGCTCAGGCTGGCTTTGAACCGTGATCCTCAGATCTCAGCCTCCTGAGTAGCTAGGATTACAGGTGTGAGCCACCAGTGCCCGGCACAAAAACTACCCTTTTTTTTTTTCTTTTTGCTTATGTGGTGCTGAGGAATCGAACCCAGGGCCTCATGCATGCAAGGCAAGCGCTCTACCACTGAGCCACCTTCCCAGCCCTCAATGGCTATTTTCAAAATCAGAGCTTCCAAAGCTGCCTCGCTCTTTTGGAGATCTACACTGTGGAGCTCAACCATCTACTAGTACACAAACTGATGCATTGCTGTCTTCAGACTCACTTCCATTTTGGATTGTGGTATATGACTTTCTCTCCTCAAGGACTGACTTGTTTTGGGTTCCTGAGAATGTACCAAAGTTCTAAAAGTAGTTTCCCTCAGAGTCCCCTGCAGGACTGTATGGTCTCTCCTGGGTGCTGCTTCCATTCCTTCAGGCCACAGCTCAGGTCTGTGCAGAATCCATGCCTGGCTGTGGTCCTGCAGCATCTGTGCCCTTGCTATATTTTACTCCTGTGGTCCTTAGAGTCATTTTGTTTGTGAAATGGACAGCAGCGGCCACAGTGTCAGAGCCTGAAGGTGGGACTCAGTCAGACCATAACAGGAAAGTAACATGTGCTCTCTAGCCCCCCCTCTTGACCCACCAAGCACAGGTGGCAGGCAGAGGCAGATGCTCCAGGCTGCAGACACTTTTGACATTAGTACTTTAAGCACAGTCTTTTATCAAATGAGGCTTTAAAAACCCATTTACCAATTAGATTCAGTTACTACAACATCTGTCAGAAGTTCATTTAAAGGTGCAAAGCATGAACAGCCAAAAAGGCTTACACGGAAGGAGTATGTGGCAGCTGGGCCCAAAAGCCCTGCTGAGAAGGAAAGGGATCTCTGACTCTACACTGATTCACTGTGACAACGCCACCTAATTCCTAGCCTTGGCTAAATCTTATTACAAGAGAATCCCATGACAACAAAGGATTCATTTGTCAGGAAGAATTACTTTCTCCCAAGTCCACTGACTTTGAATAACATCTGATAAGGCCAAACTTCAGTCTGACCAAAGAATGTGGAAAATTCTCTGGGACTGGAGGGATAGGCCCAACCCTGAGCTTTGAAAGCCTACACTCCCTGGAGTAAGGGAGCCAGCACAAGAGCAGCAGAATAACAAGGAAGACAAACCCATTACCTTGAGGATCATCTCAGCCCGGGTCATGCCTTTCACCACAATTTTGGTGTAACTGGCAGGTGCCTTCCTCACCACCTGTGAACCAATGGATGGGAGGTCGAGCAGGACCATCTTCAGGGAGTGGGTGTCCAGCAGCAGCTGGGGGGCAAAGCAGAGGGTTAGAGCCACCTCACAAGACACACCACCTGGTGGATCCATGCAGATGAATCAAATTTTCCAGACTATCCATTACCTGTATACTCTCATTGCAGAAAACTTGAAAAATAAACAAAACTATAAAAGAAAAATTTTTTAATTCTCAGTGCTCAAGAAAAATAGCATTAAGAAAGCACAGCTCCATTGCTGCTGGTCACTATATGAGTATTAAAAAACTAAATCAGTCATACTGTGTGTGTATAGTTTTATGGCCTTGTTTGTCCATTTACTGTAAAGTTTTTGCATTTGGCAGTCTTAAGAATATTATGATTTTTAATAGCCTATGGTGAGTGCATAAATTTCAGATTTTAAATTATTCTCCTATTTAACTTGCACCTAGATTTTTGTTATTATTAACAAATGTTGTGCTTCAGCCTTCTACATATAATCTAGGCGTTATGGGACAGCCTAACCATAAGGACATTTTGAAGTTCCTGTTATATCTATCCAAACCTCTTTCCAAATGGAATATTACCTATTTACAGACTTGCCAGAAATGCAGAATGGGCCCTCAGCCTTGAAAACTGTTACAAAGACCTTACCTACTTACTAGGTAAAAACTGATTAACTCATTATTGCTGTATTTTTTTTATGTTTCTGGATGCTCATGAAGAGATGAGAAATCTAACAAAATTTAAGTGTATCTTGGCAACAATACTAAGACATGGCTTTGAAAAGCTGTTTGTTCCAGTTATCTTAGATGCCAGTTATGTAGAAAGATATCAACGTTCCTTGGACCACCAATTGCTAGGGATGATTTATCACATCTCGTTTCAAGAAGTCCTACCCAGATGAAGGGATTTATTGTTCCCACTTGATAAAGGATGGCTTCAACATTCTAGAGCTTTAACAATTTGTTCTACTTATCTCAGAAGATGGCCAGGTTAGGTGGGGAGTCAAATGACCTTGGGCGGTTGTGGCTTAGAAGTTTAGGAGGCTTCTTCCTCTTGCTGCTATCACTGTCCTGTTGTTCCTGGTGACTAGAGGGTACAGAAATGGCTGGCTAAAGAGTGGCTTACTGGGAGAGTGTTGCCCAGCACACCTGAGGCCCTAGGCTCCATCCTCTAGCCCACAATTTATGCACAATGAACAAACAAACAAGAAAATAAAGGCTATTCTGAAGGCAGAGGATAATGTGGGAAAATGGAATTACAATGCCCTTTAGAACAAGGTGCTATACTTGCCACTGCTTGCTCCTCATGGAAAGCCTTCCATAACTGGGCAAGTAGGAGGATAAAAATCTTGGGCATACTCTGCTTTTCCCTGTGCTTTGCTTTGGAGAGTGGAATGACTAAAGATTACATAATGAGAGCATCTAGTAACTTAATGGTCAATGTGATTATAATTTTCACAATCATATAAAGATTTAGGAAGGATACTAATGGTTTATTCAGAGTAACTCATAAATAATACTCCCCCCAAAAGGTAAGAAGGCTACCCTAAGGACAGAGTAATTTCAGGCAGAACTATGACTTTGAATCAAAGGTCTACACTCTGCAAGTCACTAAAATGCAGGCCAGCAAAGTGTCAGTGCACTTTAAATCTTTCTAGATTTCTAGACGTGAAAATTCTTCAATAGGAAGTGGAGATGTGACTCAAGTGGTAGAATCTAGCCTTGAGCGAAAAAGCCAAGTAAGAGTGTGAGACTCTTGAGTGCAAGCTCTAGAACATGTGTGTGCATGTATACATGTACACACACAAAATTATATATACGTGTGTGTGTGTGTGTGTGTGTGTGTGTATATGTATAAAATCTCCTTTCTGGGTGCTGGGATCACAACTGTAATTCTAGCTATTCAGGGGACTGAGATCTGAGGGCTGGGGCTCAAAGCCAGTCTAGACAGGAAAGTCCATGAGATTTTCATCTCCAATTAACCACCCAAAAAGCTGTTAAGTGGAGCTATGACTCAAGTAGTAGAGTACAAGTCTTGAGCAAGAGAGCCAAGGAAGAGCACAAGTCCCTGAGTTCAAGCCCTGGTACTGGCACAACGAAACAAAACAACAGCAAGAACACAGGATTATCTTGGATCAGTTTCAGAATGCTTGGCCCGTGTGTATATGCAGAACAAATGGAACAAACTTGAGGCCCAGGAGCTTCTTCACTTCCCTGCCACAGGAAGCAGAGAGGACACCAAAAGGGCCAGGGCAGGACAAGTCCGCAGTGACCTACTCCCTCCAACTGTATCTACATCCCCAAATAGCGCCACCAGCTGGGTCCTAATGTTAACACAGAAGCCTGTGGGGGACATTTCATATTCAAACCCTAACACCCATGTAAAAATGATCCCTGAATCCACAGTTTGCAAAAGCAAAAGATTGGAAACAACCTAAGAGTCCATAAAAATAGAATGAATAAACAAATGTTGGCATATTTATGCAATGGAAAAGGAGACTGGAGCTAAAATGAGTGAACACAAATGACACATATCAACATGAGTAAATCTCAAAAGGCATTCAATGAGCGAAAAATGCAAGAGAGGAAATGATACGTACAGTACGATTTATATAGAGCTTAGAAATAAGCAAACACAACCATGTATCATTTGGGAATACATATACATATAAAATGCCAAACACATATGGGAATGTAAAAATCAAAATCAGAATAGTGTTTACCTCCAGGCTCAAAGAGAGAAGAATGGGATCTACAAGGGCTTCCGTAATTACTGTAACTGTTTACTTTATGTAAAGAAGATCTAAAGCAAACGTGGGAACATGTCACAGATTTTACTGAGCTGAGTGCTGGTGCTGGTGTTCTTTACATTATTTTCTGTATTACTATTAACTGGAAATACTTTTGCTTTTTCTTTTTTAAAAAGCATGCCTTTTGAGTCTTGGCAAGGATTCAATTTTGTCTTCCATGTGGCAAATTTTAAGATCCTTGTCAAAATCAAAGCCATGTTTTAGCATTCATTTGTTGGTAGAAAAAAAATCCAATGATTATGTTTTAAAACATATGGGAATACATATGTCTTAAAGTACTTCCTACATTTTCAGCATTTTCTACTTCTCAGAGATATATTATATGCATAAATAATTGTATAGTTTTAAGTAACAGGAGGAATTCTGAATGAACCATACATAATTCTCCAGTGTTCTGTGTCTTTGGGAGATATAACACTTTCATTCCCTGGCCAGTCACAATAAAAATCTGCCCACCAGACAGCTGAAGAGATGAAAACCTCTGTCTCAGAATTTTAGAAAAGCAATGCAGTCAGAAAAGATGGGAACAAATGAGCAACAGAAAACAAACTTTGTTTTTTGTTTTTCCTGTGCCGATCCTGAGGCTTTAAAGTCAGGGCCTGGGCAATATCCCGGAGTTCTTTTGCTCAAGGCTAGAGCTCTACCACTTGAGACACAGCTCCACTTCCAGCTTTTGTTCTAGTTAATTAGAGATAGAGTCTTTTCTTTTTTTTTTTTTTTGGGTCCGGTCGTGGGGCCTGAACTCTGGGCCTGGGTGCTGTCCCTCAGCTCTTCAGCTCAAGGCTAGCTCTCTACCACTTTGAGCCACAGCACCACTCCCGGCTTTTTTCTTTTTGCTTATGTGGTGCTGAGGAATCGAACCCAGGGCCTCAGGCATGCAAGACAAGCGCTCTACCACTGAGCCACCTTCCCAGCCCAGAGATAGAGTCTTACAAACTTTCCTTCCAGGGCTGGCTTTGAACCGTGATCCTTAATCTCAGCCCCCTGAGTAGCTAGGATTACAGGCGTAAGCCACCAGGACCTGGCCTTAAACTGACTCTGTTGAGGGAGATGGGTTATCAAGGGGGTGGGCTAACATGGTGAGTGAATGTGAGTATGGTCAAAGCAGTTTACTGGCAATTATGAAAATAGAACAATGAAATTGTTTTAAGAAGGTGTAGTAGATGGAAGGAGAGAGTGACTGAAATACAATTTGTCCATATGTGAGAATGTCACAATGAAACTCCGCTTGTACAACTAATGTATGCTAATTTTTTTCACTTAGCAATTAGAGTTTATTATTTTGGCTTCTTCAACACAAGATTTATCTCCCTAACATGGCTAGCTGGTAACAAGCAGTACAGATAATAGTTACAACTGAAGTAAATAAAGCAAATAATTCCAGGAAATATTAATACACAATACCAAATATGTTCTAATTAAAAAGGAAAGTATGAAGCTGGGCACCTGTGGCTTACAGCTGTAATTCTAGGAAGATACGATCTGATGATTGCAGTTGGAAGTCAGTCAAGACTTATTTAATTAACTATAACTTTATAAAAGCTAGAAATGGAGCTGTGGTTCAAGTGGTAGAGTGCTGGCCTTGAGCACAAGAGCTAAGGAAAAGTACTCAGGCTGTGAGTTCAAGCCCTAGTACCAGCACACACACACACGGAAGGAAGGAAGGAAGGAAGGAAGGAAGGAAGGAAGGAAGGAAGGAAGGAAGGAAGGAGGGAAGGAGGGAAAGAGGGAGGGAGGAAGGAAAGAAGGAACTAGGAGAGACAGAGCAGCTGTCTGAGGAAGTAAAAAAAAAGGTCCCATGTATCTTGAAAATCTGCTGGCTTTCACCTTTGAAAACCGCTGTTCATTTCTTTAAGGCAGGGGACACTGGAAAGAGGTGGCAATGACCAAATTTGTTTGCACTTAGGAGATAAATTTTGGGATAGTGTTGGCTGGCTTACATTGCTGTTGGGCTAAAGGTTAACTAATAAGCTGTACCTATGAAAGTTCATCACCCAGCAGTGGATACCTTTGAAAGGATTACAGGCATGTGACTACCATGCTGAGACCCTTACTTCTTTTTTTTTTGGGTCCGGTCGTGGGGCCTGAACTCTGGGCCTGGGCGCTGTCCCCTCAGCTCTTCAGCTCAAGGCTAGCACTCTACCACTTGAGCCACAGTGCCACTTCCGGCTTTTTTCTTTTTGCTTATGTGGTGCTGAGGAATCGAACCCAGGGCCTCATGCATGCAAGGCAAGCGCTCT